AACTGAATTGTATACTGCAGACAAAATATGTGACATATCTGAAATATTTAAAAATGGACAAGAAGAATTTCAACAATGTTTAATTATAAATATCCAAAATGTTTAGACCATTCTGAGAGGATAGAAAAGAAAACACTGTAGAAATAATCAGCTACAGTCATAAACCAATACTTGATGTTTGTTCACATGTCACTGTTTATATTATAAGTGTTTATCAGACTACATATTATGGATGCGTGTGGTCATCTTCAGGTTATATGTGTCTATGTAGTTATTGCACTCATATTTTAAAGCAAAGAATTCCAGTCATTAATGTTTGTCAATTTATTTAAAATATTAAGTATTTGTGATAAAATGTTTTGATTACTAAAACTTAATGAACCTTATAAATTTTTTGTGGCACAGCTAAATAATGTGGTTTGGTGTAGAGGTGTTTATATCTGAGGGATGTCTCTTATTCTGTATTGATGTTGAGTGATGCTTAGAAAGTGAATTAACATCAAGTATCTGAAGAATACACACCAAGATGCTGCATTGCAGAATTGGTCATAAACTATGGTATATGTCCATGAAATATGAAGAGAAATTATGTTACATATTACTGATATTATCATAATTCAACTAGTGTAAATCTAAACAGTTGACTTAAGAAATTCTCAGTGTGGAAAAATAATCAGTTTTCTTCTACCCATGTGTCTGTGCGCTTTTGCACTATAAATACTTACTGTCGTCTGTTCCATTAAGAGATGTGTGCATGTATGCATCTATCCACACGGATGCACACGCAGTATATATGTATTTTACCTTATTATGCTTTTGTTTTAATAAAGTGTTTTAAGGGAGTGTAAAAATTTAATATGACACAAAGGGCACTGCCATAAAACATTTTATCCACAGTGTGAAGTTCTTGAGATATAATAAAGTGTGAATGCAGACTGAATAATAGAGGCTAAATGATAATTAAAAGTTTCTTTTAAATTTTAAACTTCAGTGTGGATAAGAATTAATTAAAATGTCTGGTGAGAATCTCCATATTCAATAACAAATAGGCTGAACTACTTAAAATTCGACATCTTTGAAGGAAATTTAACATTGACTTTTTATGCATAATAGGCAAGTATATTCATGTTCTTGTATTTGGTATCATATTTTATTCAGTTACACACCATATGATATTCGATGATCATTAATCCCCAAAAATAGCAATTTATTTTAATTACCTGAATGCATTTTCTGAGTATGTTACTAGAGCCAGTGAAAACACCTGCATTACCAATGGCTTTCAGAGCAAGTGTAATCAGCTGCTGTTTGGCTGGATCAGTAGACTGACAGTTAGACCCCAGAATACCCTCAATCTTCCTCATGATCTCCCTTATTTGGTCCATCTCTATACAGTTACTGTTTGTCTGACAGTAGCTGTGGACTAGTGCAGAGATGCTCAGAAGTGCTTTAGCACTTGGACCTCTATCCAACAAAGGCTGAAATATTATAAGCAGTGCTACATAATGATGGGGAATTTAGAGTTAGGTTTGTTCAGTTTAACATATAAACCCAGCCAGTATGCCCAAGTGAAAAATTCAAACCAAGATCAAAGTACAGTTGAACTTCTCAAATCACAAATATTGTATAGAGAAAATCATGGTTCACATTGTACCAGACATATAATAACATATTGTAGCTACTATAATTTTCGATAACTCAGAATATATAATGTTAATGGCATAAAAGTAGAATTCACTGTTCACTAAGTTTAGTAAACTCTAGTATACTGGCTATTCATAACTTTCAACATTCTAAGTAATCAATTAAAAATAAAATATAATTTAACCTTAATTTGGCAGTGTTATTTCCTTCCTGGAGTGAACTCATAACTTTGTATTCTTGAGTTAAGTGAAGGCATTTCCTCTATAACTGATGCAATGGTTATACCATCATCCAGAGGCTAGAGCTTCATTTGTAATAACAAAAAGTACATAGTTAATATGAAGCTGGTATGAAGATAGGAGAGACTTTTTATGCTATATATTATCCTTGTACTTCTATGTAAATGCAGAGTGTTTCTGAAATATATGACACCACTTTTGATGGGAGAGAGTTCTATGCACAAGAACAATGAAGAATGTCTTTGTAAACATGGCTACTTGGATGTTTTGTTTTTCAGTTATAGCCCATCTTATTTTGGAAGAAGAAAGGTGAAAAATGAAGTGTGAACCTATCCACAAGAAAGTTTTATATTACTAATTCCAGTGTTACAGATTATTGTTTTAACAACAAAAGGCCTGACTAGAATTAACTTGCATATGTCTTCACCCTTTGTTGCAGTTCCACTACACCATCTGCTATAGCATAAACAGTACTTTCAAGATGGCCCCTGCAATAAAAATCCAGTAGCTTTTAGTCAAGTGATCTTGCAGGCCATAGGGCCATAGCTAAAAAATATAACATCCAAGGATCCATGTTTACTGGTTTGTTTGTCTTTGTGTACAGAACATGCCCATAAGTGGTGCTGTATATTTCAGAAACACACTGTATATTTTAATAAGGTTATGTCATACCAAAACTGATGACATCATATTGAGCATGGGTTTCTTCTCGAATGCAAGTGAAGTGAGCCATGAGTCCATCTGAACAGAAGTTATTTCACCAGTTTTGAAGAGATGTATCAATATTTTGATTCCATCAGCCGTTCTAATGTGTGGCATTGCATCCAGAAGGAACGTCCTGCCACAAAATAATTGTAAAATTAAGTAAAAGTAAATACAGAGAGCTGTGTATATTATTTCAGTATATTGTATAAGTACAGCTATTCAGTAAGTTTGCCATTATATTTTTAGTTCTTTAATTACTGTGAACTTGTGTCTTAACTAGCAGATAAGCACAAATAGCCACATCAGCTAATGTACCTACATAAACCAGCACTGCTACTTATTCCTAACATCATACTATTCAAACTTGTGTGTCTTTATTTTTGCCACATCCCACCCAATGCTACTGTACTGTGCTGATCAACTGAACTTTATTACATTCACTGAATTAACACATTAGCTCCCAAGTGATTTTTGCTGTGTAAATTTTGTCCTATGACCCCTGACCTTCACTCTACTCTTGTAAAAAAAATTCTGAACTCTTGCTGTTCAAGCCATGTGATACTCCAGTGGCTCTCATGATCTAAATGCATCTTTCCTGTCCCGGCTGTGGTGTTAGAAGACATTAGTTCACTCTATGAAGATTGAGCCTCTAACAACTGTTACCCACTGGTGTCTTTCATGGTACTGAGAATCAATGTGTTTGAGGAAAATCCTTGTAAGTTTATACATGACCTTCAGCTTTGTGCATACAGCTGCAGCATTTGACATATAAGCATAACACTTTCAACCTCTGTGCAAGCAAGGTCATGTGTTTTCTAACAGTAATATAGCTCTAATACCTTTTCTTTTTTACCTCATTTGTTTGTCAGTGGCATGGTTGAACACATTTTCAAGTTCATTGTAGTTCAGAGATGAGAGAGCAACTACTAAGTGTGAGAACAGAGCAGGAACGTCACTCTCAACACCATTTTCAGTTTTTCTGACTAGCTGCTCAAGTAGTTCTACCACAGTATCCTCTTGGTCTACTTTATAACTTGCACCCACATGTTCATACAGTAAGGTTGTGCGTCGTTTAGGTGCTGCACCTGGCATAAAAGAAAGGAGACAGTAGTAAATTTACGAACATACCCATAGGAAAGTAATGGAAAGACTGTATATAATATACTCAGTGATCCTTAATTAAGGTTTTGTGCATACTCTACTAGTTCTTTTTTCATTTATTTTACACACATTATATAATTTGACTCTAGACTAATTTTAGAGGGTTTTGCATTTAAAGATCACCTGAAAAATATACTGTTGAAATACCAAAATGGCTGAGTTGCAGTGTTGAATGCTTAACTAAATTGCTGGGGGTGGATATCTTATGGCCATACCACATTACATGGATGGTCAAAGAACTGTGTCCTGCTCAAGTCATAATTTATTTGTTGCTTGAAATTGTAACATTGTTACATATTAATATTGTTATGTATTATCTTTTTTGGGAAGAACTCATTACTTAGTACAGATACTTTCTACATTAAATTTGTTGTACGTATCCTGACAGTTTCACACAATCACTGTTTGTTGACTGTTGTCTTATAAACAATATTTCATACATAATTTATAGGAATGTATGTCATCTACATTCATATAAAATGTCATATTCATAGCTCCAGTGGTTTATTAGGTTTCAGTGTGAAGTAGATAAACAATATTTTATACATAACCTATAGGAATGTTAATAATCTGTCTTGATACAAAATTTAATATTTGTATCTTCAGTGAACCATTAATTATACTGTCAAATCAAGAAGCTAAATTAACAGTTTTACACAGCTGTCATGTTGTTGGTTTACACTCCACAAAAACTTCCCTCAACAAAATTTACTTATTTTTTGAACATTTATTACTATGCATCGTTTCAGGGCCATGTTTTAATTGGCACTAATGTCACTCCCTACCATAAGTTCATGTGTCTGCTATGTTATTATACTAATTAATTGAAATTAAAAGGTACAAAATTGGGATGCCCTCCAGTGGCGTAACATTCATCAAAATCCACAGAAATTTGTCACTTGTTGAAAGACTACACAGGACACACACATGCACACACACACAGTATGATGGTCTAATAAGTCTATCTTTTTTCCTTGAGAAATAAGATGCAATCATGCTTAAATGAACATCGAGTTTACTCTGACAGTTAGCTGTCAGTTTGTAAAATTTGTGCACATGAGTAGGATCAATACTAGTATACAAGCGATCTACTACGTAAGCCTCAAAGCAAATAAATGGGACATACAGAAAGGGTTAGTTCGCTTTTTCAGAGGCATCATAGACAAAATTATTGGAGGAATAGTGCAACTATGAAAATCATATAAGTCAATGGGAAACAGAATTTGCAAGAAGGCATTTTGTTCATTCCAGAACTGGTCTGGAGCACCTTACCAACAGTTTGTGATGCCTCTCCACTGTGTGATGTCCTGTAAGCCAACACCTGATTCACCATAGTCACTGCACCACCGTCATGCTTAGAAAATGGTTGGAAGGTATGAATCTCATTATTAGTTGCTTTCTGAAGGATACCATCTCGAATAACCTGACTGCCGTGCTGTTGGCTCCTTCAAGCAAATGAATAAAACCATGAAATTTTAGCTTTTTACAGTGGTAAATATTGAGGTTCTGGTATTCTGTGTTGTAACACTGAATAACTTTGTGGGTAATTACAACAGTTTGAAGGAACCTGCTGCATCTATCCTTCAGTAGACTTAACCATATAAAAATAAGAAAAGTATGTATGCATAATACAGAATTATTGTCAGAAGGACAATTACTGAGTGAACTAAATATGGAAAACTGACCATGCAGTATATGTTGAAATTAACAAGTCTAAAATTTTTACAGTGACATTTTCATTAAGCTTCATGTACAGAAATTGAAAACTCATCTTATTATTATTGTTATTATATATAATTATATGAAAACACGAACGTATAGAAATTATTCTAAAATGTGATTAGTTTAATGAATAAGAAGACATTCTGGCTAGAACTCATAAAGCCTACCTTCTTACTGTACAGAGTTCCAGTCTTGTTAATGTATTGTTAATGTTATATTTAGGCAATGGAAATATATAATTCAACGAGAAAATATGAATTAGTTTCAGGATTCATGTGTTGAGATTGGGGTTCTGGTGCAGTGCACGGGGAATGTTTACTATCAAGTGGACTAGAGGGTTGTTATTGGTGGGAAGTAGGACACTCCGGAGAGTTACACTACTACACACAGACTGAAAACATCAAGCAGTTAAGAGTAGCATATAGAGAGTGCACCTGTGTGGAATGAATGCTTTCAGGATGGTTAGTAGTAACTCGTCACTCACCGTGAAATCTTGCGTACACGCGTGTATCAAATTCCTAGCAGGGATTTTCTCCTGGTCTGTGGACAGTTGTTTTGTCTACATTTACCTCTAGGCCTATTTCCTTGCTAGCCCATAGGAGATTTTCCACATTCTTGGTTATGGTACCCACACCATCCCCGACATACTGACATCATCAGCATAAGCAAGTACCTGGTGCAGACAGTTTGAGCCCTTCTGATTCCCTCTGACCTTCCTGATGACATGTTCCAGAGCAAATTTAAAAAGCATTGAGCATAAAGCATCCCCTGTTTTAGGCCATTGTGCACTGGGAATGGATCTGACAGATGGTTAGATATCTGAACTCTACTAAATACCCTAACCGTACACATCTTCATTGACCTAACAAGTTTCTTTAGTATTCAAAACTCCATAAAAATGCCATACAGTACACCTTTCTGAGTCAGATGCCTTCCTAAAGTCCATGTATAGTTGGTGTACTGACCCATTATACTCCCACTTTTTCTGTAATATTTATCGAATGCAAAATATCTGATCAATGGTTGACCTATTATCATGGAATCCACATTGATCTTCCCTGATAGTTTCATTAATAAACATGCCAGAAGAATATTCGATCAAATTTTGTAAGACATTGACAAAAGAGAGATACCTTGGAAGTTACTGCACTCGATTTTAACTTTTTTTGTGAATAGGGACAACAGTTGATTCTTTCCACTGTTGTGGTAGTACTTCCTGGTTCCAAATTGAGACCATAAGCTTATGCAACTCTGAGTGCAGTGTCCTACCACCTGCATGGATTAGTTCTGCTGGAATTGAGTCGATACCTGGAGATTTATAATGTTTTAATTTTCCAAAGGCAATTTCAACTTCAGTAAGGCTCGGTTCTGGCATGACTTTATATCATACTGCAGGTAATTAAACTAAACAGAATTATAGGGCATATAGCATGTGGTAAATATCTTCAGCTGAAAACATTTTAGGACATAAAAAATTGATGTAAATATTTTATTATGCTGGTCTTTGAGTAAAAATGTATGGATACTAAGAAGATGGCTATCTTCTGGGATGTTGCGCCATGTATTCTGGTAGAAATATACCAACGTTTTGGAGGTGCTTGCTGCCTCTATCATCAGTGAGATGAGCATAATCACCCTGGCGATGGAGGCAGCAAGCACCTCTGAAATGTTTTAAACTTTTACAAGAATGCGTGGCACAACATTCTAGAAGACAGCCATTTTCATCCATAAGGCCATGAAAACCTGAAACGTCACTGATAATAGTCAAAACATTTAATATAATTTTGAGGTCTGTGTTTTGTTGGTGATTTGGTACTTAAGATACAATGAAAGTCATGTAAACCTGATTTGCACTGCATATTTCAGTGTCCCACCTTTATTTTCTCAGTACCCAGGTCTTATAATTAGATTTATAAGTACCTTTTGCTATAATGTTATTTATTCTTATTATTTTTGTGTGTTATCATTGGCAAGCCAGGACTTCTGCTTATGCTACAAGATTGTAGTTTTATTTCCATATCCCTTTTGTGGCCTGAGATAAGGTATCCCAAATTTTTTATCAGGCCATGGTGGTGACCACTCACCCGCATCTAGTGCCGAGGTCAAGAATGAGTAGGAGCTATACCTCTGCTCCCTTGAAATGCCTGCATAGGCATGTAGCGGGACGCTTTACTTACTAAATTTTTATATTCTGAACCTATACAATAATTGTTCTGTGTGACAGTATTACCACATAATTATCTTGTCTTCTTCCTCTTCTAGCATTATTTCCATTTTATGCAGGTGAACGGATGGAAAGTTCCCATTGTCTTTCATGTTCTTCATATTTATATGCTATGAAATTATAAAGAGACTTGATGTGAAATTAAATTTTTACTTACTTCATGAGGGGCAGTGACTGTGCAGCTGATGATGACATGTATGGTGTAGACTGCAGAGACAGGAAATGGTCCATTCGATGTGAACAAGCAAGAAAATTTTTCATTTTCCCAATAAGAAGGACTGGTCTATATAACTCATCTTCTTTTAGGACCACATCATATCTGGTTTCACAGGTGCCAGTAATGTCTGTCTGCAGAAATAACTCGGTTTGAATATAACTACAATTTACAGAACTGGAAATCAATGTAGAAGCTAATTACTATCCTACAACATTTTAATATTAATTATTTTCTGAAGGAAAAGTGGTACTACATCTTGTTCCTCGAAGATCACCATTTGTAGCATCTGGTGTAGTTATGATTTACTCCAACAACTTGTTACTATACCTTGCTCTTTATGAATAAGTTTGTTTAAATATGGTATTATAAATTATAATTAAAATATGAACCTAAAATTATGTGTAAGGACTGATAAGCTATTAAGATGTGCTGTTTTACTTTAGTAAAGCAAAGTAAAAAAGTAAAGCTTTCCCGGAAATGGCTGTCTTCTGAGTTTTTGCGCTGTATAGTCTGGTAGAAATTAACTGACATTTCACAGGTCCTTGCTGCCTCCATCATCAGGGCTGTTCTGCTGTCCTGATATAAGCTATGTAGGCACTTGAAGGCAAAATCCTCTGCCCCTGTCATCCAGTCCATAGTCAGACACTACCCCAGCTCCTCAACTTTATTTATAGGCCTAAATGAGTTCTATTTCTTTTATTAAACATTTACTGAATTAGAACACATTGCCAAGTTACAGAGCTTTTATCACATAAATATATCTCTTTGTATCTTGTTGCATATACTTTTTGTTTGAAGAATATGCTGTAAATGTCATATATGTACACAACAGCTTACATGGCTGTACTGTAGGTCACATCAGTGACAACAAAAATAAGATATTTTTTGATTGTTATGCTGATGTTGATGTTACGTTTACATCACATTACATAAAGAATGTTTCTGCTGATGGATTAATCATATATCTATATGCTTTTGATTATTTTTGTGTTACTGAATTTGAAAATGTTAACATTTTAAAAAATTTAATGGCAAATATAATTGTATTGTACTGGATTATTAAGGTCACTATCAAACACTGACTAGCCAGGCTTTAAAAACAGACAAAGGAAAATACAAATCAAATTTATCCAGTAGGTCAGTAGAGCCAAAGAATTTCATAGTTTAATTTACTGGACAAAGAATATATACGAAGTGTGTGACACTAAAGTTCCCGGAATGTCCCCTTCAAAAATTGTATTTAATTACTCATACACAAATTGTTGTTGCAACCTTTGAAGTAGCCTACATGCACACCAATACACTTTTACAATGCTAAAAACATTTCTGGAACTCCTCTTCGGGAATGCTTATCATGCCATCGTGTGTCCCGGAATGCCAGCAATGTTTGAAAATCTGTGGCCCTTTAAAGTGGTCTTCGATTTTGTGAATACCCATAAGTCGCACGGGGCCAATTCTGGCGAATATGGTGGACTGTCTAATTTCTTTATCGATTTTTTTGCCAAAAACTCCCGGACACCGAGTGCGTCATGACCAGGGGCATTGCTGTGATGTAAGATCCAAGCATAAGGCAAAAGTTCAGGTCTTCTCGGACGAACAGCCCCAAGTAACTTTTCCTGTATTTCCAAATCACTCTTAATTGTCTGTTAGTGCCAAATAATTTTCGTACTTTTTCACATCTTCATCTATCCGATGGGTTTTCGGATATCCACTTCTATCATCACCTTTCACATCTTCCCGACCCTCCTTAAACCTTTTATGCCACTCAGATTACTCAATTTTTTCACACAGCACCAGCACCATACACCTCTGTTAACATCTGCAGAGTTTCACTCACGCATTTGCCTAACTTAGCAACAAACTTTATGTTAATGTGTTGCTCCAACAACCTATAACCTATTTTTCCGCCGGGACGAAAACACACTTTTGTGACTCATCCACTGCTTTTCTACTACTGTCTTATCTGCTTCATCAACACATGGACATGTTGTAACATGTCACTGATTAGTTATTGCTCACTCCCTACTCAATGTGGGCATTCCGGGAACTTTATTGTCACACCTCTTACACAGTACTGTTCCAGTTTGAAACTAGTAAATTTTGTATAAAAGAACTGGTTTTCAGAGTAACTGCTAATTTAGGGTACAAATGTGTGCAAAAGTAGGACTGTGTTAACAAGGATAAAAGTAAACTCTGTGACAGGAAATGAACATCACGTAGCTTAGCGCATATGTTCTGCATACCTTGAATTGCATTTTACTTAACCTCACCTCATGATGCTTCTCTCTTGCGGAAGATAGATCATGCATGGTGTTTTGGAATGCTGTCAGGATACCCCTCTTCACATTGAGAACCCACACTGGGTCATCACCTGGACACAGTTCATTCACTGCCCCATCTTGAAATGAGAAGTGAAGGGAGTTTTCCTGTAGTGCAGCAGAGAATTGTGCTGCTCTTTCAACACTACTTTGAATGCCTGCATTTGTGAGGTCAGAGTCTGCCAACTGCACATTTTCCAACTGTAAAAACAGACATTCTGTTATACATACTTTTGGTAGGTATTTCACTGCTTCTAATTCTTCTATACCAGTAGAGCACGATGGAGCCTTTATTTCACTAGGGAAGTTTGTACGTGAATTTAATTTTCCAGTAATTAAACAAACAGACTATGTAATCCAGATAATGATTATTTCAATGAATGATGACCCATTTCTGATGAAAAATATGGATAACTACATGTATGAAAGGGTGGTAAATGTGTAGGATCAATAAAAATTCATTACTTTCTCATTTTGAATAAGTATGAAAATTGACAGAGAATTGTGTTAATGGATGTGAAGATTGTTTTAGACAGAACAAAGGACAAGAGATGTATCATATTGTCATGAAATTAGACAAGACAAATCACAGTTACGTTACAAATAAAATAATAGATTATGTAAGAAATTTGGTTTGAATAATTTTGACAAACAGTGTTCTGTGTGTAGAATGTTTCCTTTAATTGAAAACAATTACCATTTAAAAATTATTATAGGTTTATGTATAAAACAGTGTCTGACTGTAAAAAATTTAACTTTAAAGCTTTTTTGAACTATGTGTCACATCTTACTCATTAATCCCAAAATTAAGTTCAGCCAGAAACCCATAGTACAGGTCTTTGAGTCTCTTTTCATGTACATAAAAGGTTAAACCATTCTCCCTTCATTTTTAGATTGTTTCCACTTTGTAAACTAGTAAAACACTCACAAATTACCTGGAGGACAAAGTCACACTCAGACACTACATGAAAACTTGCAGTGGCTGAAAGATGGAGCTGAGACTTTTCCGTGATGATCCCTCGAACAGATGTTAAGGTATTTGCTGTGTAGTCATATACATATGTTGTTCCTGGTACATATCTGAATTTCTTGCTACCTACAAAAAGTATAAAATAATTCTGAACTATCCAGTGGTATCTTTTCCAAAGAAATATTTCCAGTGAATATAAAACACAAGTGTAGAACTTAAGACAGGCTTTCCATTTCATCCTATTTAATACAGATGTTACATTATGGCAGTGGCAACAGGTAAAAACTTTGTCCCACTACGTGCCTTACAGGCACTTGGGGTGAGTGGAGGTATAGCTCCTCTCTTTCTTGACCTCGGCACTAGATGGGGTGAGTGGTCAGCATCACGCCCTGGCCGGCTTTACCCCCGGAACCCATTGTAGAGGAGGCTGGGTGGGCCCCAGAGCCGGTCTGGACGCAGAGGATAGAGGAAAAATCCTCTGCCCCCGTCGGGGATCGAACCCCGGTCGTCCAGCCCGTAGCTAGTCACTATACTGACTGAGCTATGCCGGCTCATAGTGGCGACAGGTAGACATTATTTATTTTACATTTTAATAAGATTTTATGAAAAAAAATAATATAGTAGAATCTTGATATATCACTCCTAGTTGTACCCCAGATTTGAGTGTACAATAGATATGAATATGTTCCTTGAGATGGTTATGTTTAATTTTATAGCAATTGATCTGATATATGTTATCTAGAAGATTGTGCTGCCACTTTGTGTTGTAATGTTATGTGCAGGGAAATATTTGGAATGTCAGACTGACAGTGAACATGTGAAATTTGAGGTTCTCACAGCACTGAAGTTGTCAGTGTTGTTATTCTGGGTTGTGATGCCATGTGGACTTCTTGTCAGTTATCAATTAACCACTTCAATCCTGAAGATGGAGATGATGTGCTGTGATATTGATCTTCCTTCACTGTCAGCCAGTATATTAATGTAGTATAGACGTGTTTATTTTAAATGTATGAACAATGTATTCAAATGTGTAGGAATGAAATATTTATTGTACGGATGTCTAAATTCTGACAATACAGAGATTATTAGCTAATGCATTGCCTACTGACACAAAATACTTTCACTAACACATTCAGTTCCAAAGGGAAGGAGACATATTTACTGGATTAGATGTATATACAAAACTGTTCTGCTAAAGTTTTTTCTATACGATTTTTATATTTTATGCAATTCATACTTTTATTAGCAGTAAAATTGATTGTTGCTTGTATAGGTAAAGATAAGATTATAATTACCTTTGCAATATCCAGCACATTGATACCTTCCTACAGTTTTGTAAGGTACAGGATCTGTAACTAATAAACAGTCACAAATAGTAAATATTCTATTCTTCTTCTATGGCACAACAGCCCAAAGTCGGGTCTTGGCCTCTTCCCATGTGGGAGATTTCTTTGTCTTTGAAGCATGCATTTATGAGTAGTGAGTGACAAGCCCACTGCCTCTGCACAATTTATACTCAATCTTGATTTGTCTGCTAGTAGTGAATCAGGAGTGACTTGGGTGAGAAATGGCCGCTGAATTTTGCTTATGCTCGTAAGGTTCTTTTACATGCTGTAAATCTACGACATGGGACCACCAACTTTACTTCCCCTCTGAAGTAAGTTGTTCTATGGATTTTTATCACCCTTAAAAATCCAACATCCGGCAGGTTTGAACCCGCGAACCTTGGGTCCAGTGGCGAGCATGCTAACCACTAGTCCACTGAGGGCGACTAAATATTCTATTCTACCTGAAGTAATTGTACTCTGTAGTGCTGAAGTAGTTTATTAACAAAATACCCCATTACAGCAAACTTTAATAAACCTTAGAGATTTACCAAAATATACTAAAGGCCAATTTTTTACGCCCCTTTGAGACAATTACGGCCTTTGGGCCACTTACGCCCTTTCGGTCAGTTAGACCCTTCAGATCACTTAAGCCCTTTGAGTCCATTCGGCCATTTAGGCTCTTTGGGCCAATGAAACCCATCAGGACCTCAGAGCTTAAAGCCTAACCTAACATAACCTCCCATAACCTAACCCAACCAAACCTAACCTAACGTAACCCAACTTACCCAAACCCTTGGACTGAAGTTGTCGTGGCCTTGACAATACCATGACCTTCCTGAGAACTCAGTATATCATAACTATGTACAACCAGAAACCTAAGGTTCGGCAGATATAAGCGTTTGAAAAAATTCAAAACCTCTAACCCGGAAGCCATTGGGCTGATATTGTAGTGACCTTGACATGACCTTGACCTATCCGTCACCTCAAGTCATGAATATGGTCAACCATATGCATACATTTCGGAAGAAATAAGCTTTCGGGAAATTTAATTTTGAATGACCTTGAAATTTTCAAAGGAATCTAATATGTAATTCATTGGGCTGAAACGGTCGTGACCTTGACATGACCTCGACGTATCTGTCACCTCAAGTTGTCCTTAATACGCACATACGAACGATTAGACGAGGGCTCATATTCTCCATAATTTCACCACATATTTTAATAATTAAAGTCCTGTGTTAAATTAATAAGGTTGATTGTAATAGTTTTCCTTTAGGTACCCCCAAAGGAAGAAGTCGTAGAGGTTTTTGTCTGGGCTATTCGGTGGCCACTTCTGTTCACACTCATGGCAAGCAGGATACCTTTGCAAAATCACACGTGGACCGAAACTGTTTTGCAGGAAGTCCAATGCGTGTATGGTGTAGCCTCATCTCGTATGAACCGCTAGCCGTTCGTATTTCGGAAGTTCAAGGACAGAACGGTGTTCATCCTGAACACGTAGTCCATAAAAGACAAATGTCTAACAATATTGCTGTTTTCAGAAATCAAAAGGGATTTAACTAATCTTCCCGGATAGTTTTTTGGACCCACAGCAGTTGCTAAGTATTTAAATTAAAAGCACCAATCAACTCTATAAAAATAAGTCTAATAAGCATAATATCAAAATACAAACCCAAATAATTCCACCATTGGTTATACACGGAGAAACACGTATTTGTTGATGAAGTCTAACACATGTTGCCAACAATTACCAATTGTAACGGAACAGTACACAACCTCGACGCTATATAGTCTGAGATACTGATAAAAACGTCTTTAAATACACTATAAATAATAATAAAGTATATAATTACTCTACTGTCTACAAAATAATTTTATGGATCGCATATAAAAACTGTTGCTTACATTTATAGAATATTTTATCAATTTCTTCTTCGCATCTGTCGGTCTCAGATAAAAGAACGAGTTTGCTTAAACTACGGCAGCAATATAAAGGAGAAGAGGTTCTTCGATACATACAAGTGCAGGTGTGAGGCACAAGAGGCCCTGGACCGTCGTCCACTCGTCCATTTCCTTCGCCGCCAATGGACTCGAGTCATAAAATGTTAGTGCCCACGTTCGAAACGAATCGAGACGACAATCTTTCAAATTTTAAACACATAGTTGGTTTGTCCTCAAATATAGCCTTATTGTTAAAACGCGATTACTCGTTCTGCATTACGTATTGACGTATACAAATGGAAGTAAAAAGGCTTCCACTTTGATGTTTTCGTACCCAAGTCCAATAGACTGTATGCAGACATACGCCATGAACGCTTCTTACCAACATCACCCGGTTCATACAACGTAACTTGAACCATCACACACACACATACGAGTAATTATTGTTACAGATCCGTGTTTGTATATCTTGAGGTTTGCTAACCGACTCGAGTTTGGCGACAAAACTCACGAGGTATCAATGACGGCCTTGCGACTGGTACAGAGGATGAAGAGGGATTCGATACATACAGGTCGAAGACCGTCGGGACTTTGTGGCGCCGGTAAGCTCGATGCCTGTGTTCAGTTTTTAATTTTATATTCCATCTGTAAATTGTGTTGTCCAGTACTTTGGTCTGTAAGAATAACATGTGAAAGTAACGTTGCTACCGCCAGCATAGCTCTTGGAGTCAGAGTATAAATACACCAGTAGTTTATATCTTTATTTATATATTTACATCCCTTTATTTGATATTCAATTCGATAATAATAATACTTAATGTTGGCGCCGATAATACTAATTACCACCAATATTATTTAAATCACGAATTTTATAAGAAAACCATATATTTTCATGCGCAAAAAAGAAGTGGTGATACCAGATTCTCATATGTTAATCGTCTGTTTATAACAGGCTAATTGAGTTTGGAGAAACACCATCAAGCTCACTGACATTGGATGAATTCATGACAGTAGATTTGGAGGAAGAACAGGATCCACCTTCGTTCAAAGCTGCCCGCAAGAAAGACAGAGAACGGTTACAAAAAGTAAGTTACGAGCCGGTGTTTTCAGTAAAGGTGAAATTACTATGACAAAACACGAAATCACAGGCTTCTGGACTGAATGCAGATAAAGTGAATTGATGATTATAAGTGGTGGTGAGGAATGAAGTAGCTCTGGCATATTATGTGAGATGGTGGAATGGTGAGGCTGAGAAAACTATTGTCAGTAATGGAAAGATTTTAAGCTGTTACCCTTATGAATATAACCCGTGAATGGGGACCGCTAAATCACAACATTTGAATGAAAATAAACTTTATAATAAGTAAAAGTAAGTTCAGACAGGAGATCACTAATTTATTATTTTTGTGTAATTTGTCAGTTTCAATCTTCAAGACGTGTAGTGAAAGACTGATTTAATTTAGCCAGCAGTCGAGTTAACCGTTCAGAGGTAAAGAGACACGCGTAATTGAAATTTTAAATGAATGTGAAGTTCTGAGAAGAATTTCTAATATCTTTGTTCCTTCAAATGCTTAAATTAGTAGGAGATTTGTAGATACATAATTTTATAATTTTTGTCCACACCAAAGTTTCCTGTGCCTACCAGCATAGACAGAAACAGAAAGCTAAATATAGATTTAGTTTGGTTATAATATTCGTTTGCTTTCACCAATTCAGGATTCTGCGTTAAATACTGCCACAGGTACTTACATCTCAGAAGTTCACATAGCCACTATGTTCGTGTTACTTTTCTTTTCGTGTCCAGTACACACCATTCAGTACATGGGTTCGATCGGGACCGCGACATTTAACGCTCCTGCTGTGACCCCCTTTTTGCGAGTGGAGTAATTGTTGGGATGCCACAGAGAAACCGGAGGAGAACTCCGTGATGCCTAGACCACGGCTTTGCCCAACACAAGTTATAAATCTGAGCACCGCCGGGAATCAAACCCGGGACCCCAGTATCACAAGCCCAGCATTCTAACCGATAGACCACCGTGGCGGTGTTGGTGTTACTGATAGTAGGGAATTAGAAAGTGCAAAGATGTGGTAGCCTTCACTAGCATGATGTTCGTGCTGTGTTTCATGAAAATCCACGTACAGATTTGAAACTTGCATGTACCCATACATGATGATAACAAAAATCCTGTATACCTTGACAAGTATTTGGGATATAAAAAAGTATTGTTGCTTCCTCATTGATCTGAATCCACATTCGTTATTCAGAATCAATTAATAATTTGCACCATTAGCATCTGCATGATTTATAACTGAACAACCTTTGTCATTTACTTTAGTATTTTAATCCGTAAAACAAATACTTTTTAAATACATGGAGTGGGCCAGATTTAGTGGTGGGCTCTTGTGAACACGTTAATGAACTAACTGGTTCCATAAAAGACGAGCAGTTTGTTGACGAACTGAGCATTCTATCGTCTTGTCAAGGACTCGTCTCCACGGAATTAATTGTTTCTCCTATTATTACAATGTTAACTTTTCCGTCAAATGCACAAAATTAACAAAAGAAGGAATAAAATACTTACCGGCGGCAACTAATGAGACAGTGGCTGCCAAAATAACCGCCATTACCACAACACATTTCATGGTTCAGATTTAGTTAACACAGATACTGGGTCGACTAACACAAAACACGTAAGTACATAACATCAGTGACTGTTAAATAACTATTAGCACACGCAGCTATCACGAACCCGACATATGAGTGAGATTCCCCGCTCGGGCGCCGCTGTTATATATGAGACGCGTGATTTTATATATATATATCAGAGGAAGGAAGGCCTTGTTAACTTCCAGAAGTGTACGCACATCTCATAATATCTTAACCGCAACACTAATTTACCTTCTAAATGCTACCATTAAAACTGACAATCAATGGATAGCACGAAAGAGTGGCCGCGTTAGCCAATGGCTTCGTAACAACATCCATGACTTTGTGTACCGGTAAAGAATAATCCAGCAACCGGATTTTTGTATCCTCCACTAGAGATGCATAGATTATGGTGTTTTAGACTGTGATATCATTGTAGTAATGTAGGTGGTTACAATAAAAATAGTAGAAGTAGTCCCTGAACGAACATGATCACAAGGGTTACTGACTATACAATTGTTTCGGACAAATCTACTTCAGCCATCTTCAAGGTCGAAGACAGATTAAGGTTTCTGGGTTGTGTCATCATGTTGTTAAGTAGGTAGTTACCAAAGCGAAGGAGGAGGCAGAAAGTACCTCTGAAACGTCGGTAAACTTCTACCAGACTCTACCTTTATTGAACTGATCAAAATAAAATAGCGTTCGAATATTCTATAGGTCATTTTATGGCACATGGCATCATGCATATTTTAAGTGCATTTGTATTATTTTAGAAAACACGGCCCTGTGTATAATTTGGTGGAAGGCACAGTCAATTATAATAATGGTGATCTGTTGGTGTGCGTTGTGAAATAATTTCCAGATGCAGTATTCTGGAGATTCAGATTCACAATTACTGGACTGGGCTTAACACAGCCTTTGTGGGCGTTAAGTGTGTCGGTTATAAATTCTGAGACTTTGATGCCATCCATCCTCCCTGGAAAATTTTGATTAGTTTCTTGTATGTCTGAATATAATCCGATTTATTACCGCTGTCTGTAAACCCAGTCGATTTGTCACTAACCACAGTGTTATCTGCTACTGACGTCATTAGACTTCAAATAAAATCGAAGGCATATATTACGATAACGATATTTCTTCACCATTAAGCGCATACCCGATGCCAACATAAGTACTGTTACAATTTACGGAAATGGTGTCATAATTAGACGTTAGAGTCTTTGAGTCACTGAAGAATCGGTCCATAATCTAGCTCTGCAGCAATACTCCACGTGAAAGGGTTTGTAAACTAACAAATAAATCAATTCTGCCCCCTTAAAAATGACTAAGAGTGTCGTTTTTAGTGTTCCTTGCCGACTTCACATCCGGGGAAAAATTGTACGAACTGCTTCGTAGTACACGTACTGTATGTCTGAGCGGAGAATTGACTCGACCTCGAAGCCGTGACGTCATGATGAATGCTGTCCTAAAAAACTTTTCTAAAATGTTTTCACTGTTTGAGCTATCTCCATAATATTTGATAATATGGGTGTGTAACCTTTAAACCGGCTTTGACCCTTTGTGTGTAGTCGCTTTACTATTTACATGATAAGTCGCAAATTGGCGTATGCTCAGTTCCTACAGTTAATCAGCTGTTCCCAGAACAGAGCGAACTTCGTTGTTGTGCACTTTCGCTGCGTGTGTTTTTAAATCGTATTACAAAAGCGGATATCGTCAACTATTTTTGTTTTCGTGTTTTATGTTACAATGACAGCATGAACAAAGTAAATAACAACACTATATTCAATCGAGCAAATAAGGAAGAAAACAATATTCAGTATACTGAACCTGAAGAATGCAAGGTTTCTGAAGTTCACAACTGACAATTCCTTCAGTTGCAAAGAAGTGGAAGACAGATGACATAATACACAAAGCCAATTTAGCGATCTGTACCTGCACGTTTATAAAACATTAACACAAGACAAATACTTCATGGATTTATAAAAGCTACGTTATTTGTGCAGATGGAAGTTCTGGTACAAGCTCTGAAACTGAACTATATATTTCTCTCTCCCACTTCCACAACATTCTCTTCTCTAAAATGACTTTGTGTGTATGACATCGGAATACACGATTTTAATTGAAAGAATAAACGTGCCAAAAGAATGGAACATCAGTGTTTTAACATACCTGTGTCGTATTCGAGAAAATCCGCTTCAAGAATCTCGGGACACTGGATATTCTGGCTGAGATATTGTATAAATTTCCTTCATCCATTCAGTCAAATGAGGGGATGATACCTTACAAAATGATAGCTTCCAAGATCTTTCCAAATTACCATTTCTGGATCATCGTGATAGTTATCATTCCAAGCCGCATAACCTAAGTAATTAAAATAGAAGTTAAATCAACACAGAACCAGAAAATTGCATGCGAGTAATTCAATCAATAAATAAAAGGAAATTCAATATCAGGTTTGTTTAAAGGGGGGTTTACAATTATAACGTCGGGAAAATCATCATCATCTTACAATATGCTTGCTCAGATTTATTAAGGGAAATTATACATAGTGGCTAGATAAAATACATACCTTACTACACACATGTTTTCGCCTCTGAAAATTCAGCGTAACAAATACATTTACACTATTTTCCAGTGAAACATAACTGGTTTTTTAGAAGCGCTTAAGCTAAGTTATATTAATTCTACGAATTTTGTTATTTGTTGTATAAGCTGGAAACACTTCCCCCACAATTATTTACAACAGGGCGTGGCCTGTGGAAAGAGAGGAAAGCGTTGTTAAAATCAAAACTTGAATTACACTATAATTAAACAAACGTTATATAAATGAAACTATCCATATAAAATTCCTGGTTCAAAATAATGAGTTCAACTTTGCCCGAAGACCTCAATACAAAACAATCCCTTACTATTCGCATCGCAGTACACAATTAGGAAACGTTCTTACAAATATGTGATTTTTGTTTTAAATTGTTGTAATCACATTCCCATTTATTTACTAGGCGAGACAACATGTGGTATTAGGCGACGAGTCAGATTCTGCACGTAGAATGAAAAGAAGCTGATGAACGTTTTCATACTTGCACTTTTTGCTTTTAGGCTTATGAAAGTGATAGCGGATGTTAGAGTGATTATGAATTGTGACTGGAACAAGTAGTATATAAGGCTCTAGTAGTCCATGTACAGGACTCAGGAACAAGGACTGGCTTCGTTTAACGGGCCTCACTAAATACGTATTTTCTCTTCATTCTTATTTTTTACTTTAAAATGGAAACTAAGCTAGTCTCTGAAAAACTGTAGTCAACATATCAACGATATACAACGGACAATGCCCAGAAACGATCCATATATATATAGCTGTATAATTTAATTCCGAAGCAAAAGGTGGCAGAATAGAATTAGAAAATTAGTGTAACAAATATATAACAATATTGTTTCTAGTTAGAATGCTGTTTCACATCAAAGACTCACACGAGTAATTAGTCCATATAATGTCCCATGGTGTTACATTCCTTCAATAATTGTGTATTACTTTGAAAAATTAATTATAAATTCGTCCGTATTTATAGAAAATTTTCTGCCTCACGGACACTAAATCTTGTTGATAAACCAAACAGAAGAAACTAAAAATAATCTTAAGGCGTTTCTAAATACGAAATGCTAAATTTTGGCTAAAACCACGAAGTGAAGAGATCATTCGGAAGAACTAGGTGTAGATGGGATCTTAGGGATGTAGTATTGGAAGGTTTACATTAGATGTATTAGACTCAGGACCGAGAATTGTGGTGGATAATGAACCTTCCGGTTTGGAAAAGACAAGGAACTTCTTAACTAGCTGAGCAAATTGTTAACTTCTCAAAAGACTTTTCGCTACGGGGTTAATTACTGGATTATGTCGTATATGAATAGTCCTTTGTGGTGGTAGAGTGGACTGGTAGTGAGTCTGTAGCGAAAACTGGTAAAATATCGTTATTGTAGTGGAATTCACAGGATAACATATATCAACATGAAGCTAGAGTAAAATAATAAAATTACGGACAATATGACACAATAAAACTGACTTTGACAAATAAAACGGATATGAAATTTTATAAGTCTTGTACATTCAACGGATCAGAAAGTTGGACGACAGAAAAGGATGCACAAAAGGCTAAAGCTGTGGACATGTGAAAAGTTAATTTGACTTTTACAGCTTACAGCATAAAAACCATGCAAATTATGCAACAATTCACCTTAACAGGAAA